GCTTATTTCGCTGTTTACTCCCCTATACATCCTTGATTAAAGCACAAAATCGATACATGCAGCTCGTACCGAAAATACTAATGTCGTGTTAGTGCAAAACTATATCCCTGGTCCAGGCGACCAGTGGCGAGCAGTGGCCTTGGACTTTGGCCTTTAGGTCTTTTACCATTCTCGTCGAATGCGACGAAGAGGTCAAGGGATGACTTAACCCACAAAGAACCCACTGAGTTTCTTCTGATGATCTTCACAGCGGATTGCAATTCCGATTCAGTGAGGCACTGCTCTTGCTAGGGAAGATTTAGCAGGATCTTTCAGCTTGAGCCCAGAATAGCCACGAGACCTCGAGACTTCGAGACTACTGTCAGTTATATTTAACAAAGGCGCTCATTAAACAAAAGTGAATGATTATTTGAAAAAAATTGTGTTTGACCTACAATGACTAAATTATGAAGACGAGCTGTCAGCCCACCTGGTGTCAAGTGGTTACTGGAGCCAATAGACATCTACAACGTAAATGCGCCACACACCTTGAGATATATGTTCTGAGGTCTCAAGTATAATTACAACGGCTGCCCCACCCTTCAAACCGAAACGCATTATTGCTTCACAGCAGAAATAGACAGGGTGGTGGTACCTACCCGGGCGGACTCAGAAGAGGTCCTACCACCAGTAGAAGTAAGTACCAACACTGAGCATCAAAACGCGTTACTGTGCAAACTCTCAATGAAGATATGGATGTAGTCCTGCGTAATGTAGGCCAGGAGACGAACGCCATGTTCTACTACTGTCATTTTTCCGATAGCTGTGTCTACCCTTGCTGTGCTACTGCTCTTACTAGGGTTAGTAGCTACAATGTCTAACCCCTCGCCTACAAGTCCAGTGAAGCTAGCATAACCCCTCGAGGTTACTGGTAATAGGTAGGCTTTTTTATTGCCCTTGTAGGCAGACGAGCATAGGGTCCACCTAATGGTGAGTGGTTACTGTCGCCCATGGATTTCAACAATGTCAGGGCAGAGCCAAGTCGCTGCCTACCGTTTAATACTTTCCACAAGCCTCATTTAACGAAATTTGATTGCTTTTTATAACTGCTATTACAGAAAGCAATCATACGTAACGCGGTGCGTATCGTGAGGAAGCTTCTCATTCTGGATTATTCTGGAGCCCTAACTACACGTCCTAGTCGAACCCGTGGCTTGCGACGAAGGGCTCGATGACCAATTAAACCATAGACACAGCACGTGTTTCTCGCCGGATCTTCTCAGTAGGTCGCGTTTCCGATCCGGTGGTAGATTCTGCGAAGCACTACTCTTGCTAGGGTCAGTGTTAGCAACACTCCGGTTAGAGCCCCGTGAGCTCACCTACACGTTAGTGTGAAGCTGAAATAGCCTATCAAGGCTATCAGCATAGGTAGGAAAGAAAAAAAAACATGTGGCTTGTGTTATAGACACAGTCAGCTGCAACCTATTCTTTGCAAATATTAAGCGAATATTTGCTCTTTTAAAAAATGTATGTTTCTAATAATATTTATATAAATTTTGTAGGAGTTATTATTTATTTATTTAAAGAGCAAACTTACTTGTGACAACATATTTGAACAAACAAAATAACGCAAGCAAATGTCCATTACCGTAAAAACTCATAATGAACGAAACTTGATCATTTAATTGGGCGTTTCAATCTCATTTCGTGTAATTAACTGCAGTTTTAATACACCGTGGAAACAACTTCAGTGATTGATTTAGTAATTAACATTTTATGGGCCAAGGCTTGTGTTTACGGCAGTCTTGGAGGCTACAAGACTCACCTTATCAATCCAGGTGAGAGCTCGGCTTTCTGCTTCTGTGTGCTAAGTGTGAGTTTTTTGACGTTCTCGAAAGCGTAAAAGTTACCTAAATCCAATTTGTATGCAGTTAGAACAGCGCCCCTAGCGGCAAACGTAGGCAACTATTCCAACTCCATACGAATTTGAGTTGACTTTTACGCTATAGAGAACGTTAAAAAACTCGCATTTAGCACACTATTAATAACTTTATGTTTCCATGTACTCTTGCAGTGGTCGCGCCTCCATTTCTCTTGTGTATTTCACACCAAGGTTTGTACAGGGACATGGGCCATACAAATGGCAAACTACAATTTTTGTTTTGGGTCAAAGGTTTATCTGCTTTTGTTGGAAGCAAACTCTACCCGATGATATGTAGGCGAAGTAAAATGTCCCTTAGAAATAAGGTGACACTCTACAAAACTTGCATACGCCCCGTCATGACCTATGCAAGTGTAGTGTTCGCTCACGCGGCCCGCATACACTTAAAATCCTTTCAAATTATTCAATCCCGTTTTTGCAGGATAGCCGTCGGAGCCCCGTGGTTCGTCAGGAACGTCGACCTCCATGACGACCTGGACTTAGAGTCCATCAGTAAGTATCTTCAGTCGGCGTCCATGCGCCACTTCGATAAAGCGGCACGACACGAGAACCCTCTCATCGTGGCCGCCGGTAACTACATTCCCGATCCTGCGGACAGAATGGAAAGCAGTCGACGTCGCCCTAAACACGTCATCTCGGATCCTCCTGATCCACTAACGGTGCTTTTAGGTACTTCAAGCACCGGTCACCGTTCTCGTCGAACCCGTCGCTTGCGACGAAGGGCTCGACGAGTAAATTAACTCTCAGACACAGCCCACTGAGTTTCTCGCCGGATCTTCTCAGTGGGTCGCGTTTCCGATCCGGTGGTAGATTCTGCGAAGCACGACTCTTGCTAGGGTTCGTGTTAGCAACATCGTCAGGTTTGAGCCCCGTGAGCTCACCTACTAAAGTTA